AAACAGTTTATGTATATTATTTAAGATAATCTTCTCAATAATCATATGACATATTATCTACATTTTGCAGGTGAATAAACTGAAGCTCGGAGAGCTTACTGGTCCCAGCTCACACAAGGAATGGGACTCAAGCCTACCTCTGTCTGAGTCTGGAGTCTATACTCAAGATTACTAGTACTGTGGCCCTTTCTCTTCCTTTAAAGATAATTTGATCCTCAAAATTGCCATGTACGATAAGTTGGCTAACTTGAACATAATAAAAAAAAATCAGAAAAAAATTGTCATGTGAATTTATTTCAATTATTATTTTTTAAATAATGCTAATGCAGCTACCTCCTGTAGCATCCTCTTGGTCCATATGAATGCCATACATCCCAATGTAGCTTGCCCTGCTCTTTAGTTTCCTCTGCCATAGACAGCAGTTTGTCAATGTCCTACCTTCAGACTTCTTTGGGGCCAAATTAGGCAAGAATTTCTAAGCCATTGTAAACTCAAAGTGTCACGTGCCAGTTAACATATGACCTCGCTTAGGCTCTGCTGTGGTGGCAGCTTGGGGCTGGCTTATGGTTTTCTGAAGCTCAACAAGTAAGATTCCAGACTTGCCTTCTGAAAACCCCTTCCCCAAAAACCTCCAAAGAGTTCCCTTGCTGGCAATGTCCACAATAGCCAAACTATGGAAAGAGCCAAGATGTCCATCGACAGACGAATGGATAAAGAAGAGGTGGTATATATATATATATATATATATAATGGAATATTATGCAGCCATCAAAAGGAATGAGATTTTGCCATTTGCAATGACTTGGAACTAGAGGGTATTATCCTAAGCGAAATAAGTCAATCAGAGAAAGACATGTATCATATGATCTTACTGATATGAGGAATTCTTAATCTCAGGAAACAAACTGAGGGTTGCTGGAGTGGGGGGGTGGGAGGGATGGGGTGGCTGGGTGATAGACATTGGGGAGGGTATGTGCTATGGTAAGGGCTGTGAATTGTGTAAGACTGTTGAATCACAGACCTGTACCCCGAAACAAATAATACATTATACATTAAAAAAAAGAAGAAAATAGTAGGAAGGGAAAAACGAAGGGGGTGGGAATCAGAGGGGGAGATGAACCATGAGAGACTATGGACTCAGAAACAAACTGAAGGTTCTAGAGGGGAGGGGGGTCGGAGGATGGGTTAGCCTGGTGATGGGTATTAAAGAGGGCACGTATTGAATGGAGCACTGGGTGTTATATGCCAGCAATGAATCATGGAACACTACATCAAAAACTAATGATGTAATGTATGGTGATTAACATAACAATAAAATAAAATTTAAAAAAAAAGAGTTCCCTTGCTGACCATGCACTTGTTTTTTTGTGAGGACTAATGTGGGAAATGCCAAAAAATTCTGTGGTCCTATAAATTCCCTTCAAAAATCCTCTTTATTTTAATAAACAATTCTTATATTTTACTTTATTTACTTTTCTTTCTTTCTTTCTTTTTTCTTTCTTTCTTTCTTTTTTATTTATTTTATTATGTTGTTAGTCACCATACAGTACATCATTAGTTTTTGATGTTGTGTTCCATGATTCATTGTTTGCATATAACACCTAGTGTTCCACGCAATACGTGCCCTCCTTAGTACCCATCACCAGGCTAACCCATCCCCCCATCCCCCTCCCCTCTAGAACCCTCAGTTTGTTTCTCGGAGTACATAGTTCTCATGGTTCGTCTCCCCCTCCGATTTCCCCCCCTTAATTTTTCCCTTAATGTTTCCTAAAAACAAAAATATTATCTTCTTTTTGTTTTTATTAACATATAATGTATTATTTGTTTCAGGAGTACAGGTCTGTGATTCAACAGTCTTACACAATTCACAGCACTCACCATAGCACATACCCTCCCCAATGTCCATCACCCAGACACCCCATCCCTCCCAACCCCCTCCACTCCAGCAACCCTCAGTTTGTTTCCTAAGATTAAGAGTCTCTTATTTTTTGTCTCCTTCTCTGGTTTCATCTTGTTTCATTTTTCCCTCCCTTCCTCTAGGATCCTCTGGCTTGTTCCTCAAATTCCTCATATCAGTGAGATCATAAGATAATTGTCTTTCTCTGATTGACTTATTTCGCTTAGCATAACACCCTCTAGTTCCATCCATGTCATTGCAGATGGGAAGATTGCATTTTTGATGGCTGCATAATATTCCATTGCGTATATATACCACCTCTTCTTTATCCATTCATCTGTTGATGGACATCTAGGCTCTTTCCATAGTTTGGCTATTGTGGACATTGTTGCTATAAACACTGGGGTGCACATGCCCCTTCGGATCCTTACATTTGTATCTTTGGGGTAAATACCCAGTAGTGCAATTGCTGGATCGTATGGTAGCTCTATTTTCAACTGTTTGAGGAACCTCCATACTGTTTT